ACAAATTATATATCAGTGCCGCTCCAAATTCATTGTTTCTAACCTCACTTGGGCCTTCAGTTTACTCAAACTTTTATGCATCCTTCTCGGTCTTATTCTCCACATCAGTTTTGAACTTTTTCATTCTTTCCAAGTCACCTGACCCACCCAGGCCACCCCGTGTTTCCTACTGAGTCTGTCAGACATTAACTCCCTCAGCGTCTAACGCCCACATTTGTAAGCTTATTTATATATATCTACCTTATCTCCTTCCTCCATTCTAAAGGAAATACATCCTTTTTACCTATTTAGAACTAATCTCTGCCAGCACTCTTGTTTTAACTCCTACCATCTCTTTGGAAGCCTTGCTCTGGTGATTGTTGGCACTCTGTCTTCGATATTTTCAGCTTTTCCTCTAACTACTTGCCCACAGGCTAAAACATATTCAGGTTTCTCCTATTAAACAAGTAATGAATGTAAAGCTCCTGAGCCTGGGTTCTCCTCTAACCTATCCCCTTCCCTTGACAGTCAAGCTTCTTGGATCAAGTCACTATCTTCCTTTCGTCCTTCTTTAATTCATGTGCCCTGGCTTCTCACTGTGTTATAATATGTTATAATACACGGAAACTGGTCTTGCAGAATCACATTGCAAGAGTGTGCACAGCCGTCTCTTTCAATCCACACCTTGTTTACCCCACTGCTGCACTTCACACTGTAAACCATTCTGTTCTTCTTGAAACTCATCTGTCCCTTGGCCTCTCCCTTCTGATTCTCCTCCCACCTTTCTGACAACTTTCTTCTCAGTTGCCTTTGCTGGCTACTCTTCCTACTTATCCTGTAGATGTTCAAGATCCCCCAAAACTCTGTCTTTGGTTCTCTTCTCGTTCTACGTGACCTCCCTAGATAGAGCTCACCTATTCCCACTGCTTCAGCTGCCACCTGTATGTACCCAGGGAAATGACCAGGCCTGAATATCCAGATGCCGAGTGGACAGTTCCACTGGGATGTTCCACAGGTATCTCAAACACACGTTTGTGTCTTAAGTAAACCAGTCTTGCTTGCTTTCTTCTCAAACATAAACCGCTATACCTAGTCACCAAACCCAGGAAACTTCACAGTTATCATGGACTCTCTTTATTCTCATCCTCCGCCTTTAATCACTGACCAAATACTAAAGAGTCTACCTTCTTTGTGTATCTTCTCTATCCAGTCCCTCCTCTCCAGCTTTTCACACCAGCAACCCTGAATTCATTCTCATACAGCTGCCAAAATTATTCTTTAAAAAAGCAAGTGTGATCATCGTGACCTGTTAAAACCCTTCAGTGATTCCCCTATGGCCTGTAAGATTCAAGGCCTTCATGATCTGGCTTCTGCTTACTTCGCCCTCTCTTTCTCTCACTATGTCCCCAATTTATATACTTCACTCCGGACATGAAGGAGGAGTTAGGGTGACTCCAAAGTTTTTGTCCTAAGAAACTGAAAGGATAGAATGGCCGTCAACTAAGATGGGGAAAGCTATAGGCAGAACAGGCTTGAGGGAGAAGATAAGGGAGTTAAACATGTTCAATCGAGAAATATATTAGACATCCAGGTAGAAATGTCAAGTAAACAGATATTTAAGTCTGGCATTTAGAAGATAGAGATTTGGGAGTCATCAACAGCTAAATGAATAGGTGACCCTTGAACAATATGGGGTTCGGGGCTCCAACCCACACACAGTGGAAAATCTGCATAAAACTTTTGACTCCCCCAAAACTTAACTACTAATAGCCTACTATTGACCAGAAGCCTTCCTGATAATATTAACAGTCAATTAACACATATTTTGTACGTTATATGTATTATATACTGTATTCTTACAACAAAGTAAGCTAGAGAAAAGAAATGTTATTAAGAAAATCGTAAGGAAGAGAAAATACATTTACAGTATTTATTGAAAAAAAATCTGCATGTAAGTGGACCCGCGAAGCTCAAACCTGTGTTGTTCAAGGGTCAACTGTTTTTAAAACCACAAAACTGGGTGAGATCATCTAGGAATGTGCTGTTCAATAGAACTTTCTACAATGATGGAAATATGCTGTATCTGTGCTATCTGATAAGGTAGCCAACCACCAGACACATGCGACTGTTGAGCACTTGAAATGTAGCTAGTTCTACTGAGAAACTTAAAAAACATTTTTTTTTTTTTTTTTTTTAGCTGAGCCATCCTACCACCTGTTGGCAGCTCAGCGGCAGCTTAGCTCGGGCCAGGACTCAAACCGTTGTTGCTCAGAGCTCACACTCTTGAGTGAGCTCTTAACCAACTGAGCCCCTCGGCCAGCCCTTTAAAAATTTTTTAAATTTCATTTTAATTAACCCTACCAGACCGCTGTACCGATTTTTCGGTAATTTCTAATCATATCTTATCTAATCATATCTGTGTTGTGTGCATGGAAAAGCACTCCAGGTACAACAAGCAAAATCCTGGAGTGTCTTACAAAGACAATCCATGCAAGAAGGTGAAGAGCAACATCTGGTGCTCACTTTGCAAGAAGTACCTCTGTGTGAAACGAGGCTCATCCTGCTGGGTGGATTGGCACACAAAGGTGGAATATTGGCGCTAGATGAAAGGTAGACCTATTTTCTACAATGTCTCCAAGTTCCATCTTATTCTAACCACTTGTTTGCATGTAACTAACATTTTTCTATATCATGTTGGTTTTTTCTCTTTAATGCTCAGGAGCCCACATATAGGGGACAGTTAGGTTCAGGGCCTCAGGTCTGGTAGGGTTAATTTAAATTTAGCCATATGTGGCTAGTGGCTACTACATTGAACAGAGCAGATCTAGGAGTAAGTACAGATCAAAAAGAAAGCAGGACCCATGGGCTCTGAGTACTCCACCATTAAGAGGTCAGGGAGGGGAGGTGCGACCATCAAGGCACAGTGAGAAATAGCAACTAATGAAGCAGGAAGAAAAACAAGAATGTGATGTCCTTGGAAACCAAGGGAAGAAAGCGTGTTGAGGAGGAGCAAGTGATTAAATTAGTTTAGAAGGACCAGAAGCCTTAGTAATATACAGTGCTGACAGGATGTGGACAAATAGGCATTTTCCTGAATTGCTGATGGAATGGCATTTGTGGAGCAACTTGGTGATAGCTGCTAATATATCCAGAAAGGTCAGGGGCAGGCTGTATATGAAAGGCCTCTGCGCCCGCATGTGTGTGTGTGTGCGTGAATGTATATATTTACATATATATATATATATATATATATATATATATATATATACACACACACAAACATAGATAATAATAGATAACAAAGATCCATAAGAGACAGGAAATAGTATTTGGCTCTAGGGAGAAACTGGGCTACAAGAAAACTGAGGGGAAAGGGAAGCTTCCTTTTTTTTACAGTATACCCTTTTGTATTTTATACCAGGTGCAAACATCCATCTCGTCCAATACAGTATATTTTAAAATAACAAAAAATGTAGACTATAAAACGGTATGTAACTCTTAAAGCATTGTAGTGCTAAATACATTGTTTCAGGTAGCTAGTCTTGAATGAAGCTTTTTTTTTTTTTTTGTAGAGGGCAATGTCACTCGCCCTTATGTGGGATCCAAACCGGGGCCCTCTGGCGTCCCAAGCCAGCTCTTAACCATCACGCCACTCGGCCGGCCCGAATGAAGCTTATTTTTGTCTAAAGAAGTAAACTGAGTGTTTCAGAGGCATAATTTTAAGTTCCAGGTTCACAGAGAAATGTCATAGTTGACTCTACCTGATTAATTTCAGAATACCACCTCTTCTGCACTGGGAGCCTTTCATTGGGTATCTCTGCAATTCAGAGATTATCTGAATCTTTTTAAATAGACACACTATCTGATTCTGTTTCTAAGAAGTCCAGCAAGAACAAATATTCCCTCAGTTAATTCCTTCAGGGTGTTTTAGAGACAGAGAGATAGACAGAAAGGAAATGTATATACATAATGAAATGTATACATAAGCATGTATATCCCTGAAGTAAAGATATTTCTATTTATTTTGTGCTATAACCTCCAAAATGGATGCTTCTGCATGATGTAGTTTTAAATAATGTCCAATAAGTGATTTAACAAACTTAATTGCCTGGTAAGATTAAGCAATTGCATCTTTTTTTGATGGCATGAGAAACGAAAAACAAGGCCAAGTTTAACGGTTTTGAAAATAATATGATCTCCTTCTTGTTGGTATCTACTGAAGGAGCTAACAGGAGGACCTATCACTTTTGTTATAAAGCCATTTTGATAAAGATTGAAACACAGTAAAGCTCTACAGTGCTACCCAAATGAGGCTAGTGACTGAGCTGATGTGTCAGCTTGTCCACTATCAAAGCAACACTCTGGCGTTTTTGTTTGTTTGTTTCCATGGTTTCTTTTTCTGGTTTATCGAAGGATTCAGGAACAAAGATTTTAAAAAGAGGTAGAGTTCCTGGAAGTGTCATTAATTTCTGTGTTCCATTCTTGTTTATCACACTCAAAATACTAAATGTTTCTTGTTCCCATGTTATGGGACGTCCAAATATACCAGGACTTTCCAAAACACCCCGAGGTCCTTGGACAGAGGCCATTGTAATGACACTGTACTAAATATTTGACAAAGGGCTTAGACATGAAAAGAGATGTGTAGTACAGGCATAAATTACTGCTATCTTGATATCATGTCCCAGTGAAGTGCTCTGCAGCCTCTTGAATATAAAAGAATATTTCTACATTTGGTTCCAGCAAACACTATTGTGCTATTCTGAAATTCACAGCACAGAAATTATAAGACATCCGCTCATAAACAGAAAGCAAATCACTATTCAGCATTTCCTGCTCTGTTTCCTGCCAATTTCAGATCATTAAAACTTTTTTTAAACCTTTTATTCTATTCTGCTTAAATTATGCTTCTTCCACCAAAAAAAAAAGATGTAGAAATTCAGACTGTATATATCATAGTAACAAATCTTTGCCTTTCCCCCTGCCTTATCCTGTGATATTAAATGTCTTCGTTATTGCAGACCTCAGGATATCATAGTGTTTGTAATTGGAGGAGCCACCTATGAAGAAGCCCTAACAGTTTATAACCTGAACCGTACCACTCCGGGAGTGAGGATTGTCCTGGGAGGAACCACCGTGCACAACACGAAAAGGTAAGGGAGAACATTCAGTCCTGCCAGTGTGTCCCCTTTCCCAGAGAGTAAAGCTGAAATAAAGTCCCTTTAGGGAGGAAACCTAAGGTCAACGCCGACCAGACTGCTAAAGGCATGAACATCAGTTCACAATTTAGAGCTTGTGGGGGATGAAGGCTCTACACACCATGAAGTTCATTAAGCACTTAATTAGGTCAAAGACCTGAAGGGCAAGGACCTGCTGGTACTGTTAACGGTTTATGTTTCCTATGTTCAGAGAAGGAGAAATCTAATTGCCACAGACTGGCGCTTTGAAAATACCTGAACACAATGGTATTGAATTCTGTGAGTTTTTCTATTTTGTTGATTAATTACATTCATTCTGTAAGTATTTAGTAAGAAGAATACAAAGATGAATGAGATCAAGATCCTAACTCAGGTAGTCTAGGAAAAATAGAACATAAAAAAATAAGAAAATAAGTGTCTAGAGAGTCAGATAAGAGCCGTGGATTCTCGGAGTAGCTAAGAGAAATCAGCAAATGCTTCATGGGGAAGATAGTGTATAAATTGAGCCTTGGGTAGAGAATGGACATATGGAGGAAGACCACATCCTGGGCAGAGCTAACCACATGAACAGCTGTACAAAGCTGTAGGCAACATATATAGGAAAAGAACAGCAAGCAAGTCAACTCGCTGGAATGCGCGTGATGAGTCAGGCTGACCGAATGCCCCAATTGTGGAAGACCTTGAATTCCAGGCTGAGGAATTCCTACTTTCTTCTGTAGAAAATGAAGAATCATTGAACGCATTGAAGCAGTAAAAGTACAAGAGGGTCACAGTATTTTAGGAAATTTGATTTGGAAGCTAAAAGTAGAAAAGACAGAGGAGGCAGAGTAGACTAGAGAACCATGGCATGCTCGCTGAATTGAATGATGGGGGACCCTGAGAGAGCCATGCTGAGCCCTGTAAACATGGGTTCCCTGGGAGTCTTTAGAGGTGTCTGTGTACTTTTTCACTTTGTATTGTTATTTGGCTTTTTAACATATTTTTCCCCTTTATTATTGAATTAATATAAATTCTAAGTATTTTTTAATTCAGAAAGTATAAAGACCAAAAAAGCTCCCATAATTTAACTACTGTTACATTCTGATCTTTTCAGACCTTTTCCTAAACCTGTATAAACACTGATGTGAGTGTATGGGCAGAAAGGATCTCATTGTACATGCTGTTTTATAACCTGCATTTTATTGTCTCTGATGTAAACATCTTTTAGTGTTAAATATATAATCTTCATTCATTAAACAAATATTAATTGAAGGGTAAGACTGCCTGGGTTTGAATCCTGACTTTCCCTTCCCTCTTACTATTTTTGTTAACTTAGGTAAGTTACTTAACCTCTTCGTTGGTTTCCAGAGCTCACTGGCCATTTATGTATTTCTTTTGTCAATTACCAGTTCATATTATTTGCCCCATTGTGCAATTGTGGTATTCCTTTTTTTCCCCTTGTGATTTTAAAGAATTAGATCTATATAATTAGGAATATTGACCATCTGTCTGTTCTGTATTTTGCAAATCCTTTTCCTCTACTTGATGTTTTTGTTTTATACTATTGGCAGTGTTTTAGTGTATAAAAATTTTACTTTATTTTTTAACTTTTATGTAGTCAAAGCTACCAGTGGTTTCTGCCTTTGGTATCATGCTTAGAAACTTCTTTCTCAGCCAAGATTATATCAATACTAACATCCATTTTTTTCCATTATTTTTAGGACTTCTATTTAAATTATACCTTTATAATATACTTTTATAGATTATTAGACCTTTATAATCTATCAAAATCTTATTTTGATATAAACTGTGCAGTAGTTTCCTTTTATAAATTTTATAGAATACTACATATACGTACATATTTTTACATACAGAAAAGTATACAAATGATAAGCAGACTCAATCAAAAAGTGAATAGTTCTATGTAACCAACACCCAAATCAAGTAATAGAACATTACCAGCATTTCTAGAAGCCTCCCTTATGCCCTCTTCTTGTCACAAGTAATCACTATTATAACTTCTGTTACCATGGGTTAGTTTTACCTGTCCTTAAAAGATACTTGTTGAATGAATAAAGAAACAGAGGTTAGAATTAATCTATTTCTACGCTTCTCACAAATAATACAAGGATCTTAGAATGCCCTTAGAAGGATTTCTAATCACCTTCCTCCCTCCCAACTTTCAAGCTATCATTGTATAGCATTTTGGTTCTACCTTGTTTTTATAATCCCCAAATTAATCATTGGTATTATTATTTTTTTTAAAGATTTTTATTGGGGAAATGGGGGAAGGGGAACAGACAAGTTGCTGTCCTTTTGTTCTTCAGTCTAGTTGAGGAGGATGTTGCTTCACTGGCCCAAGTTGGCACCATCATTGCGCTCTTCTCTGGCGAGGCAGAT